AAATGACTATAAAAGTTATACAAATTGATCAGTATATTCGATACAAGCATTTCATTACTAATTTATATATGTACACAATATATAATCACCAATGATTTCAGTTGTATTTGTTTAACTCATTATAACTTATTATTTTGTATTATCAAGATATTCTATGTATAACAAATTCTTATGAAAGTAACTATTCTAGCAAAATAGCACAGCTGGTTACTTTTTTTATTCAAAAGAACAGTCAATCTAGACAAAAAATCGCAAAGCGCAGTACTTTTTAAATGAAATAAGAAACATTCCTAGGTCAATGCTTAAATGATTCAATTCTCTGTATGTATACAGATTTGTTTATACAAGAATGTACAAGAATGATTACTAGTCTTTTCTCTAGTATAAGAATGCAGTGGTACATAGGTCGATGATTACTTAAATATATACAGAAACGTGAAAATATACAGAATTAAAATAAAATTATATGCAGTACATAAATGTAATATTACCACTACATTCCGAAAATTTGTAATTCTTTTGAGTAAAACTAACATTAACTTAACAACAAGAACTTTTTGCTGGTTCTGCTTCAACTAAATTAAAATCTAAACCACCAGGTCTGGCAAATCCAGTTTTAATACCATCCCAACCATCTTCTACCTTGTACTCTCCGCTCTGTATTCTGTTATAAACTTCCTGCGTGACTGCTTGAAATGCTTCTTCAACATTCACTCCAGTCTTTGAACTAGTTTCGATATGATGTACACCATATTCATCTGCAAAGGCTCTTGCTTCTTCCTTCGAAACCTCTCGCCTACCTCCATTGGTAATCAAATCTAATTTACAACCTACCAATACAAACACAGGACGGTTTGGTTCTATATGCATTTCAGCTTCCGTCATCCATTCAGGAATATGTTCAAAACTAACTCTGCTGCAAACATCGTATAGCAACAATACTCCAACAGAATTTCTATAGTAAGATTTCGTAATTGACCTGAAATTAATAAGTACTTTTTTATTATTATAGATTGCATAATTTTTTGTTTTTAAATTATTCCAGAAAAAGTAAAAACAAGTATATTTTTAAACCCTTTATCTATAAATGGCATCTATAGATGTGCAATGAGATTTATTTATGGAAACAGCTCATGAGGACACTTAATGCAAGATGCAGATTTGGAGTGAATAAAATAATTTAATGACATCTATTTACGAACAAATCTTAAAAATATTTATAATTTAGTTTTATACACTGTGTGATATGGTACTTGTCATTGTTATACTGTTGGATTTTATTTCACAATATTCAATAGTCAAAGTGTTAATATTTTAATGTATTTGCTAAAAATGAAATTAAAATAAAATATTGCTAGCTCAACTAGCTAATGAGTTACACACCTAAATCTTTCTTGGCCAGCTGTGTCCCATAACTGTAATTTTATTCTCGTTCCATCTTTTACTTTAATCAATCTGGCAAAAAAATCAACCCCAACCGTTGGGTCTGAAAGCTAAATTATAATACATTATGACTATGAAGTACTTATATTATCAATTCAATAATTTGTTTACGCGAACATTTTTCATTTTTATGTAAATTTAGATTTTTTTGTAAACTTATTCATGTACAACGTATACTACATTCATAATTGATTGAATAGGCATTGGTTCAAACGACTTATTGGATCAAATAAACAAGTTTAAATTCTCTCAAAAGAATTCGAAATCGACTGAAATGTGATAACAAGCTTAATTGTTTACTAACCAACCATTGATTTACATAATAAGTATAAATGATAAGAAAAAAATTGATTTACTCCGATTTCGTATAAACAGTGAAAATACTGCGTCATACTTTTATTTTTCCGAATATAAACAGTTTATTATTAGGCTAAGAAATTGGAAATTTTCCAATTGTGCTACTACATTATGGAAACGAAATCTTAACGATGCAGAAAAAACCAGCTGTAATTAGGGTGTAACTAATTAAGAGGAAGAAAATCATCGTGATGACGAAGCGCGACAAGTTGCCTATTTATTCAGAATTAATTTTTTCCATGTCGTTGAGTGGTTAGGGTCGCTGCATACCTCCGCGAACTTCCCATCGGTGAAATACTTCAGCAGCGAGCTTTTCCCGACTGTACTGTCGCCAATGAGTATCAGACGAAACTGATAGTCAAAAATTGGATCCACCATCTTGACGTTCGTTACGATAAAACTTTTTCACAAGTGACGCTCTCGTGTTGTCACTTTAGACTTTAGAGGATCATGATTTTCCACTTGTCAAGACTGAGAACCTCGCTGACCGTGACATTAATCATCAGCTTCCTACCTTTGCCCGACTTATTGCGCACGACACTGTCCGAATAAACACGCAGACCTCGCGAGGATCATCAAAATAGTATGCATCATGATTTGCGGAAGACTAGTCTCCCGTCGATCATTTTAGCTTTCTCTGTGTTTTTTAACCGCTCGCCAAATATCAAATATCACGCGATAGCACAATGAGTTCAAAGTGGATGGAATTACATACATACATATATGTACGTACATCCACCGATCTTGGCTAGTGACGGTAGTTCCGTATCAGTTTCATATGTAACTTTATCATACGTATTTTTAATGTATAGTTAATGTAACAAATATTCATACAGTGCTTAATTTCAACAAACGTTATTACAACTTTGGACAATACTAATAACACATTTTCTATCTTTGATCTTAGATAGCTGTGACATCAGTTCCGTATTTTATATTCACTTGTAATTCTTTTATACATATCTATTTTTAATACATGGTGACTGTAAAAAGTTGTTATTTCGTGTATGTACATAGCATTTGTTAATTTTATTAAAAAAGTCGTAAAATATTTCATTTGTTAATAGTATTTGGAAAAACAAATATCTAGAAACTGGCAAAAATATATGCATGACAAGTGTTAATACAGTTATACATGTGTATGTATTTACTTTATTACATATAATTAACTACGATGACAATGAATATAAACATTAACAATACCAATTATTGGTAAAGTCATTTAAAATGTGTTGAATATGTATACATGTATAGCAATCTTTTGCAATTATTTCGTATAAAAGAATAAAGTTGAAGGAAAATATGGAATACGTACAACCTTCATTAGATGT